CCCCCCCCCCTGGATCCGCCCTTGTCTAGTAGTAGTTGAATGGATGGAAGTGCAAAAAAACTTGCCTCTAGAATCTAGACGAATGTCCCAAATATTTGCTTGAAATGCTACTTTGAAACAAAAGCGCGCACTTACCCAGTTGAAAATGTGCCAAAACCACCAGAAAAAAAAACAGTTTAATCAAACGAAAGTGCGTTTAGAAACAGGTGACAAAGTAATTTTTGCGGGCAAACTATTTGGGAAATTTGTCGCCTCACTCAAGTAACCAAACGTGTATCCGCTTTTAGAAAACCGGAAAATCAGAAGCCGACGATCTGATTTCTAGTTACTTTCAACCGCCAACGAAGCGCGCCAATGAACTTCTGAGCCAATCCAGTGGGAAGATCGACACTCAGAAAGTAGTAAACGTTTGGAGAGGTAACTTTGGCTCAGACATATAAAGGCAAATCCTCAGCTTACTAAAAAATGCAGCGGAATAAGCTAATGGTTTGCCTTTACTGTTCACGCCAAAAAAAAGATGCGTATTATCTACTGAGAGAAAGGTCACACTCCTTTTCCAGATTTCGTCAAGAAAAGCAAAACTAGGTCTACTGAGAATTTAAAATTCGACTCCCCAAGCAGGACTTTTGTCGGGTCGAACACAAGGGGAATGGGAGGAAATTGGATGACATCGGGAGCAGGTACAAAAAAAACAAAACATTAGAATAAAACGCCTTTAAAACGAAACTGGTTTGTTTCAGGGTCGCCCTTTAATTTGGAGAGCTTGAAAAAACCGTTTCGACTGGAGGCATTGCCCGACATTGGAAAAACCAACAGCAAACAAACCCTTAACACCTTGGAACTGCTCTAAATAGTTCAACTATTTAGACTTACGTCTGAATCAAAACTAAATATATTTTATTACGTTCCTCAATATGTATATGTAAACTGTTATAAAGAGTAATTGTTACTTTACTAAGATGTTTATAATAGCGGTGTGTAAAATGTGTGATATTTTGTTACAAAAAGCGAATTTTATGAATAAACCAGAGTTTGAATTTTCATAGTAGAGCTTCTACGAGATAATCATCGAAAAATAAAACTAACCGCAACTTACTAAAACAACTGTAATAACAATAAATAGTCACAACAAACTTATATACATTCATCTTGCATGCACGGAAAAACTAGTCAATAATCGTTGAAATTTATTCTTTCCACTGTGCTACTGTTACGAGTCTATTCCAATTCCAAACTTTAATGTTTCTGAGTGTTTTGTAACTTCATGTTGCATGTCCAGAGCCATCGCCTTGTACTTCTTCGCTAGTTCCTCATTTTTAGCCACCCCATCCCCTTTGGCGTACATCTGACTTAAGTTTGCACAACTATACATGTTTCCCAAGTTGCAACCCTCAAGAGCAAACTTGAAGGCTTTCTCCATGTTTTTAGGTACATCATATTCAGATTTCGCGTCTTTTTCTCCGATTTTATTCCCATTTTTTGCCCCCGCTATGTACAAACCCGACAAGTAATAGCACGCCATTCCATTTTTGAAATTGCAGGCCTTCTCCAGCAAACCTACTCCCTAATATTATGAGGATTAGAGAGTGGAGGCTGATTTTCAACAGCTACTCACTTTTTTGATGTCTTGATTGAGTCCAAAGGACTCATTTTTCGTAACCAATAGTATGCCTTGATTAAAGCAGGCGTAGGGTTCGTCCAAGTTGCACCCTTTCTCAAAATAACTGTACGCTGCTGGGTAGTCGGTTTTCTTCACCCCTTTTCCCGTTATACAGTAGGCTCCGTATTTTAGGCAACTTTTTCCAAACTTATACTCATCGCAGTTGGTTTTATACACTTTGGCTGCCTTTTCGAAGTCTTTTTTAATTGCGTCCAGAAAGTCAGCCAGCAGGTGACAAACTAAAGGGTGACAAACTTGAAGAACTTTGCATTTCATCAATAATATCAGAGTATTATGCTAAATTATGGGGTTTTGTTATGTTCGCAAAAGGCAATGAATGATGAGATAAGCGAGGGCAATCATTCCAGGCAAACACTTTTGAAAGTTTCTAGAACTATGGGGAAATATTGAGGTTAAAAACTAGGCTATTTACCTTCGGGGTTCTTTTCGCTGTAGCAGCCAAACCTGTATTCAATTCCCAAATTTTTAATATAGTCCTTCACTTCACTTTCAGATTTCAGATCATAAGCCATTTCCTTGTTTTAAAATTTGAAAACTTTATAAAACAATTAATTTATAGGTTAAAATAAAATTCTTGACATCTAGATGTTAACTCATCAGAACTATCGTTCGAGTAGACCTAACAGTCTTTTGGAACTTGGACTCGCATGCTGTAGACAAGGTCAGAGACTGGAACTGGGCAAGCCATTTCTCTCGTGGTTCTTGGCAAAAGTACGGGTTTCCTTTACAAAGTTGTTGTTTCTTTAGTTTTTGAATAAATTATTCAGTTTGCTTTTGTTGTGGCTCAAAAATTTCATGACTCCAGTAAGAGTTAAGTGTTTAATTTGACGATATGTCCATTCTTTTTAAAATTTTGTATTGCTGATTGCTTAAAAATACATTTTGTTAAGCAATTAGTTCTTAATTTTTTTTATGAAAAACTTACTATGCAGTCATTTTCGATTTAAAAGGTCACTGATGAAATTGCAGCATCGGTTTAGTGTGTAATAAGAGCTTATATAATGCATACAAAAAATTTTCAGAATTTTTATTCAGACTGCCGTTGGACAAGAGCGCGGCAGGACAATAATATTTTGATCCCAACATAAAACACTGCGCTTCAGCATAAAGTATATTTAACACCAGTCTGTTTATTAACGATTAACAGCCGAATATTTTTAGGTCGTTCCTTCCATTTCATACTAAAAATAACGTTTTTATTTTGTTTATAGGAGTTAATTTTTTGCGCAGCAAACTCTGTTGCTCCAGTTTATTAATCGCAATTAAACAGTCGGTCTGCCGTGATATATGAACGCATGGTCGCAAAAAATGAGCTTTAAATTGCCATCAACAAGAAAATTAACACGCCAGTCGAAAACGGCAAATAATGCTACTTAAAGGTTCCAAGAAAGATGAGAGAGTCTAATGTATAGTAAATATGTATCTCTTTTGGGCGCGTTTTTTTAGAAAATCGAATTTATTCAATATGTTAGATGGATTTTCCAATCCCTTGTTCCAAAGTTTGTGTAATTAAACCTAAATTTTATCTATCCTTGAAGTGACTGCACTTTAGTTTCTAAGAAGACAACACAAAGATAAATGGGCTATTAATGTAGAAAATCTCTGGAAGCCTTGAACCCTAAGAGGCAGTCAAGGTAGAAACCTCGTGCATTTGCTAATATTGTACATACAGACGAACTGGGCATGCATTTTGAAAGAAAGGAAACTTCGTATTTGGAAAAGCGCCAAAAATCGCCAAATAATGATTCGGTCTGTAACAATATGCGAGAATTTAAAATTGAAATGTTTACTGTTAACATATTCAAAGAAGCATTATTTATTATATAAATTGGAATTACATAAAATTAATGAAAAGATAACATTCAAGTAGTCCAATTCCATAAAGGACCGGCAAAATTTTACAGTTCAACAACTCGTAATTTAGACTTTTGTAAACCTTCCCTTCATTTACAGCTTTTGCCAATAATCTCGCAAACATTTTTCATCTGCTAATCTAGTTGGTTTTGCAAGTTTATTGCGTTCTTGTTTCCGCATTGTCCTTGACAAAGATTTCTTTGTTAACTATTGTGAAACAGTTCACATTTAGATCAGAAACTTCTAAGTTTATTTCTCACTGGGCGCCTGACCAAAATCAAAGGCAATCTATACAGTATTTCAACAATATATTTATATTTAAATGCGTTTTAACCCCGAGATGCGGCTTCAGTTACATTTGCTTTTATTCGGCCTTAAAGTTTCTCAAAGCGCTTCTGAGCAAATATGAATCTAAAGGAAGCGGAGCAGTTGATTTATCACAACCATCACTCAAAAAAATGCACTGAAAAATATATAAAAGGCAAAAACAGAACAAAATATTTAGCAAAAAATGAGTGCAAGTTATTTAGAACCCTTTAAGTGTGAACCGAACACAAAACCCACAGATTTGCGCAACATACGTTCTCGTGGTCCTTCGAGTCGGATGGAAGATTAAGCGGCCAAATAAACATTCAAATTAGTGTTTAAAGTATTGGCAAAGTGATCCGTTTCTGAAAGACTCGCTTGTGCCCGATGTGAAAATACGGTCTTTGCCAAGTATGCGTTTGATGGGGCTTGAAAAAGCCAAAAATGTATTTCCAAAAAGTAGCGTCTTATGATGGCAACGATAAATAGCATGTGTTAGGAAAATTCGGACGTTCGAGGCGAAAAATCCTGAGTATAAATAGACTCTTGGTAATTTTTGCACGTAGTTTGACGTAGAAAGCACACTGATCGGTGCCAGAGTGGATTCCGCATTGGATTTTAGTCCAGCTTGGTGTACTGCGTTGTTTTCCATAGTGTTTACGGCGAAACAAAAAAGTTCCTACTATTAGCTGATTAGGGGAGGAAAGTTGTGAAACATTGAAGTTCAGTGACTCCGGTTCCACCAGCAACAAAGGTATGTCCAGAGTCCACCTAACAACATTTATGTAACACTTAATAAATTCCATATGGTATAAGTGCAACGCTACAATTGAACCCAATCGAATTCAAAATTGCTGCAGTTTATCCAAAAGTCAACCGAGTATTCCGGACGTTTTTTCCACTTCACCTTCCAGGGTTTTGCCAAATAAGCTCTTGCACTAAATGTTGCCACTCAAAAGACTCATCCTCTACTTATACAGCGCGCCGCATGGCATGTTTCCTCCTCCCCCAACGGTTGAAGATTTTAATACACCAAAACTCATGTGATTGAGCATTTTTCACCGTGCACGCGTTGCATTGTTCATTTGCATTCTGGTGGACAAAAGCCCACACAAGGTAAATATTGTTTTTATTTTTGTTGAAAACAAAGATCTGAGCGTATGACTGGTCGGTTCTATGCCAAAAACTATAAATATGTTCCGCATCATTGTATCAGCAAGCTGATAAATTTGTCAAAGAGTCTACAGATGAAGTAGAGGAAACACGGAAGTGACTCACAGTTGGAGACGTAGAAAGTGATTCTTCATTGACAAGAATAAAATAAATTCAAAACGGTTGTTTGGGGGAAACTAGTGCGCATTTATTGCTGTTTTTTTGATTAGTTGCAAAGTGAAATGTGCATTTTTTGCTATTATCCGCCTAATCCATCGAATCGGGTAAGTCACCGAGATGTTCCTACCGGTTAAATTTTATATTAGTTGCTATTATTGAACTAAAAAAGGCTGAGGCAGATTTTTTCTAACTGAAGAAAGTCTTTAACAAATTTTCGGGAAAAATCGTTAATTTTTCTGAAATAATCTTGATTGAAATCGTTCCTAGAAGAAAACACGTTCCGCACTTTGATTTTTCGGAATTCATCATTATTTTCGCATGTCTTAGTTTCAAACGGTTGTTCACATCAGTCATCAATCAGAACAATTTAATTTTATAAAATTCCAAGCTAAGCAACTTTTCGGAAACTTTCACAGATGCTTATTCAAGATAAATAAATTTATCTAATCTTGTCTTTCCGAATAAAATCAGATTTTGGTTTCAAAACTCCTGATTTTCTGAGCTAACTGGAAGAAAACGTTTCCGAGCGCAATGAGAAAATTGAATTGAAAATCAATCCAAGTTAGTTTACAGTATCGGAAATTCCGCATTTCACACTGACTGAAATAATTGTATGAAAAAGTGTTCCTCAAGGACTGTTTCGACTTAATTTCATACAAAGGCAACTCAGGCTCCGGAAAGGTTGAAGCCGCAAGCACTTAAATTTAAAGGAAAACTTAAACAGAGACTAAAAAATATATTCTAGTTTATTAGAGTTGCTAATATTAGGCCAACATCACTTGTTGATTGGCTTGGAAAACCGCTATTGGCAGATGATTTTCAGATATTATCGGGATAATGTAACACGTACTTCGGTGACATCGAGTCTGAACTTTATCTAAATGCTATAATTTACGCCAACAACCTTCAGACCCACCGATTTTTATTAATTAACAATCAAGTTCCACTTCAGTAAGTTGAGCGGTTTCAATGAATCGACTAGTTGAAAATCGGGGCTTGTTCACGTTCGTGTCTTACCATCACTATTTCTATTTATCCAAAGTTTACGTGAGTACTTTATGGAAAATTCGCTTCCCACATCGGTTTGAATAATTATCATCAGCTGGGTTTAGCCTGAAAATAACACTTCCGAAACCTGTTTTTTGCCAGTATTTTACATGGCGTTCCGTGCCATTATTCTGCATTTTTGGCTTTTGGTAGCAAAACCGAACTTGATCTTAAAAACGTTCTGCATAATTTTAGAAATGAATGGGGCGGAAGTAGCGTAGGATTAACAATGTGGTGAAATAATATCTATTCGTGAATTTTAAAAATGTATTTTTAAATATTACTACCATCAATGAGACTGCCAATATTTGAAAAGGGGTTTTCACGAATTTTCCGGTTTATTTTTGGAGACTTCAGGTAAGTGCGTGGATCAAGGAAACCTGCCAGCACCTCAATTCTATAAAACAATTATCTCTTAATAGCTCATAGCTTAAAAGCACTTTTCCTTCAAGTTTGGTGATTAGCAAAAAAATCTACGAGCGGTCAATTACCTTAACACTTGTCTTTGTTGGTAGGACACTAATGAAAGATCACTGGCCTCACGTGGTAGCGTTCTAAAAATTATATTTATAGAAAAACATTCTGGGAAATTTCAAATTCGTAATTTTCTCTTAATTGCCAGTCCTAAAAGGAATCATCGGGAACAATTGAAGCCGAAAACAGCTTAAAGCCACTGGGGGCTAATGCTTTTTCATACTAGATAAATTGTCCTAATTAACTTTTTGGGTTTTCGAAAAATATCGTTCTATTTCAGAACTTTAATGGTTTGTTGGCAAACATAATTATCAGCTGTTTAGGCGGTCGGCCTTCTGGAAAGCGTCGAAAATGTTTTTTCGCTGTCTATTTTTAACGTGATTGCAAGGTCTAGGTTTTTGATAATCGCATCATCAGTCAGAAGGAAAAACAAACCGTTAAATTAGTCGAAATACCTGATTAGAAGAAATAAAGTGTCTGGCAGGTGCCCATATACAGGGTGATTCAGCTTTCAAGTTCAAATGGATTTGAATTCAACTTTTGTCTGTTTTTCAAATTCATTCACAATTTCAACATGTTTAATAGATTGCAATTAAAGTTGGGCCACCCGGTATATTTTCGAATATTGACTCTGCACTAACGAGAAGAAGAATATTGAAACTGATCCTTTTTTGCATTGAATCAAGAAATCTTGTAGCTTTTACCGGCTTTGGCTTAGTTAATTTTTCAAAATATGAGCAGTTTTTCCAAGTTTTTAATCAATCTGAATTTTCTGTGTTAAAAAATCTCAGTTTTCCTAATTTAATCCAGAACTGGGAGCGATTGAGAGACATTTCCAAGACGAATGAATCAAATTACGCAAAACCGATTGCATAAAACACTTGTTGAAAAAATGCAACTTGCCCAGGTTTCGAAATTTTTCAAGAACACTCTGATGATGGCAACGGTTCGAAACGTCTACAGCCTATAGATCAACGATTTGCCTATTGAATATCAAAAGGGACTATTTGCTAGCTTTTGTCGTTTAGACGAACCTAATTGCAGACAACACAATTGTTGTTGTTCTCCGTACAATCAAAATTCAAGAAATTGTCCGAAAATCCCTTTTGGCGACAGGAATTTGACACTTTCTTATACAGAAGATACAAAAAACAAATTGGCCGTTGTGTAACACAATATTGCAAATATTTAACGCTTTCTTGACTTAAAGTTCCAACAATTGCAAAAACGTGACTTGAAGTTTACCCAAATTTGAAAAATTCGCCAAAACCAGCCTGATGATGGAGTACGCTAAAAACTTTCACGGTAAATTGGGCGGTTTCAATATTTAATTCAAATGCAGCTAACGGCTAAAAACACTTACTCACCTCGAATTCATTGCGTTTTCAAATCAGCTCGGTCTATTTTTTCTCTGTTATCACGCGGCAGTCATCCACTCAGTCAGGTTTTGAAAATTTCCCACTTCAGAATGAAAGCAGTAGATTTTTCATATTTTGAGTACGAAAAGCAGAAGCGTTTGCATCGATGCAGGCGAAAAATTCAAACATTTGCTAATTTTTCTGAGCCGCCCGAGTATCAACTTGCAAAATAAACGCGTTAAACATATACACAGCCAGGTTTAGAAAATTGCCCACTTCCGAATGAAAGCAGTACATTCTTGGTATTTTTAGTGCAAAAAGTAAAATCATTTGGCTAGATGTAGGTGAAATGCTAGTAAAGTCTGGGCAAACTTTAGATTTTTCAGAGCTGCCCGAGAATCAACTTGCACAATAAACGCGGTAAACATCTGCACAGCCAGGTTAAAAAAATTTCCCACTTCTAACTATCCGCAATAAATTGTTAATATTTTGAGCACCAAGACAAGCCAATTCTTCTCGCCACAGGCGAAAATTCAGAAAAATCGAAACATCTCAATTTTTCGAGCTGCCCGAATATCAACTTGCCAAACAAACGCGGCAAACATCTACACGGTCAGGTTAAAAAAAATGTACCCACTTCTAACTAATATCAGTAGAACCTTAATTTTCTGAGTACAGAAAGTACAGGAGTTCGTCTCGATGCCGGCGAAATTTTAGTAAAATCCGAATACATCCGCAATTTTGAGAGCCGCCAGAATATCAACTAGCTGAATAAGCGCGCGGTGGACATCTACACAGTCAGGTTTAGAAAATTGCCCACTCCAGACTAAAAACAGCATATTTTTCATATTTTCAACACAGAAAGTAGAAGGATGCGGTTAGATGCTGGTGAAATTTGAGCAAAATTCTCGGAAATTTTTATTTTTTAGAGCCGCCAGAATATCAACTTGCAGACCAAACGAGGTAGACTTCTACAGAGTCAGGTTGAGAAAATTGCCCACATCAGAGTAAAAGCAGTAGATTCTTTATATTTGTAGCACAACTATAGAAACACTCTTCTCCATGTAGGAGAAACTTCAGTAAAATCCGAACATCTTCTGATTTTTCGAAGCCGCCTGAATATTAACTTGCAAAATAAACGGGATAGACGCTATAAGCATGTTTAAAAATTGCCCAATTTAGAATTAAAACAGGAAATTTCTCATTGTTTGACCACACAAAGTAAAAGTAAAAGCATTATTTTCGGTGCAGGCGAAACTTCAGTAAAACTCTGTGTTTTTGGAGTTATGGAGCAAATATAAATATTTGCAGAAGTTGCATTGATAACCCTCAAACTCCCAAAGCGCCACCCGTAGAACGTATGAGAATACAGAAAATTTAGTCCTCATTTCCATTCTAGAACATGCCGACAGAATGCATCGCCAATCCCCTGCAGAGGGAGTTAGCAGATTCTATAATTCGCATGGTGCCTCTAGACGAGATAAGGATTTTACTGGCATGTGGCGCAAAGGTAAGCATTTCTTCGGCTAATTTTCCAGCGATCCACAGAAGGTAAAAATGAATTACTTTCGTAGGTGAATGAGCCAGTGACTCAAGGATTGATGCCCTTGCATTACGCGATTTGGCAAAAATACTACGAGGCGGCTCAACTGCTGCTTACCAGAGGAAGTGATGTGAATGCAACTGATGAATGTGGATACAGTCCATTGCATCTAAGTGCTGAACATGGGTAACTCAGCCACATCGAGCAAACGAGGCTTAAAAGCTCTAACTTTGGCTCTTTGCAGCTACACTGAATTTGTGCGCCTCCTACTGAAATCTGGAGCCAAAGTTGACTATCGGCCAGACACCAGGGATGAGTTTCCGAAGACTACGCATTGTGATGAACCTTTAAGACTGGCCATTAGGAATAAGCACAAAGATATCGCTAGGTTGTTATTGGGTAAGCAACCAAAGTGAAACTGTCCGAGGAGTCTAAGCGACGCTCAAAACACCAAATCATTGTTCCAGAACATGGAGCGGACCCCAATAAGCGCTACTTTTTTGGATCCGAAATCAACTTGGTCAGCGACTTGGACTTTTTGGAACTGTTGCTTACTTTCGGCGCAAACCCGGACAGTAGGGATAGATCAGGATTAACACCTCTGATGAAGGCGGTTCGGCAGGCAAACGTATGAATATAACTTTTTTTTAAACAATCCTCCAACCTTTGAATGTTATGGTGATTTGCAGAATATGGAAGCGGTTCTTCTGCTGTTGAAGCATGGAGCTGATGTTAATGCCATCGCTGATCAACGACATGATTATAGAACGGTAAGTAGGGCGATGGAAAGTAGGTTAGTGATTTGCATAAAATTTGGACAAAGCGTTACAAAAAAGGTAATTCAAAACTGGAATTCAGGAGGTGAATGGAGCGTTTTAAGACACAAAATTACTCCATTGATTGGCATTCGAACTGCACTTTATTTATGCTTTTGATCGGCTCGATCCGGGCTAAGTTTAAAACGATATTGACGACGTCGAGGAATCACTCCCATTGTTAAATTGTGTTTTATTATATGGTTCCGATGCACAAAATCCAGTCGGGTTGGGACACAATTTTTTATTAGTTTAAAATTACTTAAAACTTTTAGTAATTTAGAGCTTTGGGGCTGCACACTCTTAAGATTGTCGGGAGGCAAAGAACGTCGAGAAAGCAAAAATTGTCCTAATTATCTTCAAATATCGCACGCTAATGCGATTGGAGCGTCGTTCAGCCTTTTACATTTTGAGAAATTCGTATCACTTCCATAAATATGGACGGAAAAAATATCAAAGTGAGCCTTTCATTAAAAGACTTCTTTCGGAAGAACACAGATTTTATATAAAGTTCTTGTAATCATTGGATCAACTAATCCTAAAATAAAATTGCTTCCAGACTGTTAAAATTGTGTTGCACTTATGGAGAAACCGTCCACTGCTTTGTATTATAACAAAGCTTTATATAACAAAAGCTCTTATAACAGTACTTAACAATCAGGTTCTTCACTATGCCGTCCTATCTGGAAACACCGACATCATCAACCTCGTGATCAAACAAGGAGCCAAGCTGAATTACGATGAAGACTTTGACCTGGGCAAGCCCAGTCCCCTGGATTTGGCTATTTTGAAAGGAGATCCCAAAATAGTTGAACTGCTCATCCGCTCAGGTAACAGACCAGCTGAAGTAGGAAAAAATTGTGTAACTTCCATGCAATTTGGTTCCACAGGAGCAAATGTGAACTGCAGTTCCCCTATCATTGGATCGCCTTTACATGTAGCTTCTTCTGAAGGAATACCGAACAGGTCTGATATCTTGAAGGTAAGCGAATGATCTGCAAAGACTGTGGGAATGAATGGTGAATAATGCAAATTTGCAGATGCTTTTGCAAGCTGGCGCTGATCCGAACTTGAAAGTATTCACCGATGAATACGATCACAGTTCGCAACTGAGGCCTGTTCTTGTAGAGTACATAGCCAGCAACGAGTGTCCCAGTTTTGCAGTCATTAATATGCTGATCAAATATGGATCACGGGTATGGGATTAGTTCAAATGTTAATTTTCCTTATCAATAAACATTCTTCTATCAGGTGGTAATGAAGACCCAATTTCGAGACCCCGAAGGCATGCTGAACTGCCTTCACAACGTCGTTTCGAACGAGTCGATATTTTTCCTTCTCCTTGAAGCGTGCGAAGCTTTCGACCCGTGCATGATCAGAAGAAACCAAGTGGTTACGCATAGCCAGAAAACCAAACTCCTGGACCTGGCAAAGTATCCTCTAACTCTGAAGAAGCAAATCCGATTATACATGAGGAAACTGATGGGGTCGAGGCTCATGCACATTGCAGGCGGGTTCGACATCCCCATCTGCTTGAAGAAATATCTTCTGTTCGACTACAGCTGAGTCACGATCAGCCAGAATCACGGTGATCGATTTGTGATGGTTTATAAATTTGATTATTTCGACGATTTGTTTGGGTCGCAGGCTTTACAGCCTGTACTTTTGTAACAGAAACTATGTTTCTAAGATTTTTATTGGTAAAGTATAAAGGTAATTCAGCGGCCCCCATTAGGCTAAAAGCCTAAAGGTTTGTGCCTTTTGGGGGTCTTGTGATGATAGATGGCCACTTTCGATGTTTGGACTAACTGTAAACTAACACTTTTGCCGATGTAATGTTTTCCCATAGAGGAATGTAAAGTCGTTTAATGTAATTTTATTCAATATTAACAGTTACCCCGAATAAGTACTAAATGCTTTAAATTTTAAAGTTTCCAATAACTCTCGCCTTTGCTTACTTTTGCGCTTCTCAACCTTGAATAACTGCTTCAGACCTAATACTTCTTTAATGCATACTTAGAGCAAAGATAACATAGAATTTTAATGTCTTTTCCTCGCGTTTTTTCTCTTGCCCTGCTTATTCTGGAACCCCCTAATTCAACCGCAAATTAAAGAGTAATCTTTCCCGAAAAATGCAAATAAAAATCGTATTTTAACGATCGCCAAACAGCCGTTCCATTGGCTTACTACCTACTTAACAAATATTTTTGCAGCACGCTTATAATTGAAATTCTGCCATTATGTAACCACATGCATACTTGAAAGCTATTAACAGCTATTGATGACTGAATCACTCACTGCCGCTCTAAAAATGCACCAAAACAAAGATCCTCGAAATAACCCATAGAGAATGTCTTAAAATAACAATATTAGTTATTAGGTAAGCCAAAATGGGATTGTTTACACAGAATAATAAGTTATAGTATTTATTTTGGTTGTGTACTAACGGAACGTATGTATCGTTTTTATAATATCCCTGATGAAACTAACGTATTTTAATTTTTTTTAAGTGGTCATCTACAAAATAAAATTAAATTTTTTGAAGAAAACTCTTGCAGCTTCAAAGCAGTCACAACGAACATTCATAGAAGGAACCTGATAATTCCTCTTAATTGGTATTATTCATTTAGTTTTAATTTTTTCTATGGTAGTTTTATATATTTCTATCCATACTCTTTGTATATTTGTACTGACGAAATAAATTGTAAAATAAACAATTTTAGTGTTTTCTTTGTTCGCATCGTATCTAAACCTTTGAGCAAATACAGCAAATGAGCAAAAAAGTTTCAGTTAACTTGTTTAGCTTTAGTTGGTTTTTAATAGTATCAGATAGATTAGTTAACTGTTTTTTTTTCTTTTCAATAATGTTAACTCACTATCTCTCCCAAAATGAAAATGCTTCGACATAGGATTTGCTACTTTCATAGAAATTTGGCAACATGTTGGAGTGCAAACTATGATGGCGTTCGCTCTTTTCTTATGGAGAAGTAGTCAATTTAATGAGCTGAAAATGGTGAAAAACCGCATTTTTGCAAAAAATACCGCTAAGAAAACTTGTTGGGCAAAAAACGTGCAGCCCTGATCTTTTAAGCAGAGTATGAAGGTTTGAATAAACTGGCTTGCGCTTCTAGCAAGTACATGGTCCAAGCTCCGCTCAGCTGATGTTGACAACCAAACATAAACAAACATTGATTGTTTTGAAGGAGTTTTTCTTATTAATTTAATTTAAATATAACTGGATTGTTTAAACGCCCTTACCTTAAACACGTGCCAAGAGTTGAAATGGCTGCCCATCTGCAAGGAGGCAGAGTGGACATATCGTTGCTGCAAGCTGCTGCTTGGGGCAATTTAGTGGAGCTGTTAGAAAAATGCCCTGGAACCAAAGCGATTGTCTGGGATAGCTCTTTAGCAGGTATATATTCAGCCGAGGCTTTAGTCGGCTTTATGGGTATATCCACCAATCTCTTCAGGGCCTGTGGGCTTAATCGCAGAGTACATCAAGCTGCGAGAACATTCYGTCAGGAAAATGTACCCCTTGCGGCCCATACCATTACCTGAAACAGATGTAGATCATATAATTTTTATTGCTAGGCCAAAGCTTCATCTAATGGAYTATATTGGTAACTGTTAATAAATATTCCCGATGGTTTGCTTCACGCACGTCCCCCATTCTAGCGCGAAACGTGAAAGACGACGCCAAAGGCAAGCACAACTGTAAAAAGGAATATCACTTGTTCTTTGTACCGAAAAAGAGCCTGCTGTGTGAAGAGGCTTTAAAACATCAAGGCGTTTATGGCAATATGATTTTCATTGAGGAGTTCAAGTGCCAGCTTATTCCTTTTGATTCTGATGTTGTTTCAATGGAAATTCCGGAAGTTTTTAGGTGAACAGTCGTCAAATCAATTATCTGAAACACAACTATTTTTGGGGATTTTCGTTGTTTTTTTATAGGGAATATACAATAGAAAATGACCCAACGTATATTTACCAAACCGCTCAAGCCATTATATTCCTGCAGAAATTGTATGGTCCGATTCCAAGAGTTTGGGGCAAAGGTACGGTTCACATTTATCACACTTTTACCTATTTATTTTGGGTAATGTTTTCCACTAGGAGTGGCCGCAAAGCAAGTGTGGGACTTGGTGACTCGCCTCCAAAGGGAACAGAGAAGCTCTGAGGACACAAAATCCAATCAAACCTCATGCATTGATCAAATCTTGCTAATTGATCGATCAGTGGATTTGATCACACCGCTAGCAACTCAATTGACTTACGAGGGTTTAATTGATGAAATTTTTGGTATCAACAACGCGACCGCCAATTTCCCCATAGACAACTTCCTAAGCACCGAAGAACGAACCACAGAGTCATTGTCTGAGGACAAGAAGCAAGTGATTTTAAACTCAGCAGATAAACTGTTTTCCGATATCAGAGACAAAAGCTTTAATGCTGTAAGTGGCTCTAATTCTTCAAAAAAAAATGCAAATGTTTTATTTAATAGGTCACAATATATTTGGCCAAGCAAGCCAAAAGCGTGGCATCCCAAATGGAGAACGCTCAGGATAAATCGGTCAAGGAAATGAAACTTTACGTGCAAAGATTGCCCCAAATGTTGACGAAAAAGAAACAACTCGCCACTCATACTTCGATTGCTGAATGTATCAAGGAATACACGGATCGGGATGATTTTTTTGATACTTTGAAGGTGATATTGTACAAACGAAATCGCAATAGCGAAGCTTAACTGAAATTTCTAGGCTGAACAAGAGTTTTTGAGCTGCTTTGAGGTAGATAAACCCAGTCCCTATATTGAGGAGCTGATGGCACAAGGAAAACCCATGATTAAAGTGCTGAGACTGATTTGCCTGCAGTGCATTTGCTCATCTGGACTCAAGCCGAAGGTTTTAGACGGTTATAAACGAGAATTAGTGCAGGTAAGCACGAATATCATCCGCTCAAACATATTCCATCCATTCGCTGCAATAAAAGCATATTTCCAGGTATACGGGTTGCAAGCACTTCTAGCCATAACAAAGCTGGAAAAAGTTGGGATGCTCAAACTGCAGTCGGGTACTAGGCAATACACCGTTCTAAGAAAAGTAATTTTCTGGATTTGTTTTATTGCTGATTTTATTGAGTAATTTGCAGACGCTTCGCCTGGTTATGGAGGATGTTTCGGAGATAAATCCCACGGATATTTGCTATGTGCACAGCATTTATGCCCCTCTAAGTGTACGCTTAGCGGAACAAGTAACGAAAACTGGGGGCTGGAAGCAACTGCACGATGTTTTAGGGCTTTTGCCAGGTAATGCGAATGTGTGGCCTAGTTCAAACCAGAATATGCGTGTAAACTAAAAAAATGTTTAATGAAAACCGCGAGTCTATGAAGAATTTTTTAAAGCGAGAACACTATTTGGTGTGAAAGTCTATTTTGAGGCCATTTACTATACCGAGACCATATAGAATTCAGGACGGTTTAAAGAAAACTTCCAACTTCCAGCTTACGAAAACTTCCATTTTAAGTGAATTTGTTTTATCCAGGTCCTACATTGGATGAATCGCCAACAATTCCTTCAAATGTAATCCAGAACGTAGATAGTCCAAAAGTGGTGCTAGTTTTCTTTATCGGTGGTTGCACGTTTGCGGAGGTGAGACCATTTCCACCAAACCTTGTGAAAACTGTGATATTGTGATCTTTTCCAGATATCAGCGTTAAGGTTCCTCTCTCAACAAGAAGACTCCAACGTGGAATTTGTGATAGCAACGACAAAATTGATCAATGGAAACACCTTCCTTAAGTCTATAATAGAAGCTTAAATATTCTTGTATTATTCCAACTTGTTCATATTATTTATTGTTTAAGAGCACTTTTGTATAAGAAAAAGATTGTGCAGTTACCGAAAATTAAACTTATCTACGCCTTGGATGATGGACGCATTAAGTGATTTAAAAACTCAAATATCTGTTTTACCTATCCAATTATCTTTTCCACGATAAATTTGCTAAATCCACCGTTGATAATTTCCTTATCCGTCATCGTTGCATTAACTAAACCGTAAACCATATTTTTTTCACATTGATGTAGGGATTACTATGGAATTAGACATGTTTCGATAGATTTGATTTACGTCGCATCAAATTTTAATCCACATAAGCATGTTGTGTTAATGATAAATATGTCACATAATTACTTAGATCATGCTAAAATATTCAAACATTCATTGCACTGTTTAATTTGAAGTTATTCATATTTCCCAACTTAATTAAATATTAAATACGATGGGGTGATGATCCCCTTTCAAACAAAAAAGCGTAGGTAAATCTTCCTTAAGTAGATACTTGACTCTAATCTAATTTTAAATATATTGCGTCGGAAGTTTTACTCATGTTAAGCGGGAGACTAAAAATGGTACAATTTATCATGCTCGATGTTGTTACAAGTTTCCCAAATGACCGTTTCACTACCTTAACACACTGCTTCTGCGTCTTCAAGAGCGAGTATCTTCGAGAAATTCACTCAACCTTTTTCTGCGTGTTCGTCAACCCAGTAGCTTTTTGTAAGGATTGCATTTTTTGCCAGTGTTTATTCCTGTGCATTATTTTCTTATTATTTACTACTCATATGATAGAAACTGCCGTTATCAGGCGGCACTTAAAAACATAACTTGTAGGGATCCGTAAACCCTCTGATTAGCAAAAGTGTCCGCGGCTTAATCCAAATTAATAAATCGAAGGATTATCAATAAATCAGACGGTCATCATTTAAACACGAATTATTTGTGTCATCGTTTGTTTCATATAAAAGCCACTGCTATTCGCAGCAAAAAGCATTCTGGTAGCTTGCTTCAAAGAGTACCAAGATGAAATTCGCCGTATTTGCCTTTGTTTGTTTGCTCAGTACCTTCGTCTCTGCCGAAGAGGTCGAGGTAAGTCATCATTTTTGCGATTTTATGGATAATAGTGAGATTTTTTCTACTAGGAGTTGGGATATGACTGGGACAACATCAAAAGTCTCGATATCTTCGTAGAACCTATCGGGCCCGCTGAATACGTTCCTCCCCAAGCCGGACTTAGAATCATCGGTGGAAACGTTGCTGCACGTAATGCCTTCCCTTACCAAGCTGCCCTCATCATCAACAACTCTGGTTTCTGCGGTGGTTCCATCATCAGCAACCAATGGGTTCTGACTGCTGCTCACTGTGTTGACACGTAAGTTGCAGGCCACGTAGTGTTGGAGTAGACTAATGGAAGCGAGTTTACAGCGCCAGCTCTGTTCAATTGATTCTTGGTGCTCACAACCCATCCACCACAGTGAACGAACCCACTCAGGTTCGTGTTGTCGCAAACGCCCGTGTGGTTCACACCGGATGGAACGGAAACACCATGCAAAACGACATCGCTCTTCTTAGGGCCGCCTCCATCCCAGTTGGTTCCTCCGGAATTTCCTCTGTCTCTTTGGCTCCAGCCTCCTCTGGAACTTTCGCTGGATCCACCGCTGTTCTCTCCGGATGGGGTAAAGATCATTATTACTGAACCCGCTTCAAAGCCGTTTGGTTCCTGTTGGCCACAGCCTAAAGGAAAAATTGAACTTTCTAGGCAGAACCAGTGATGCCAGCAACTCCATCGCCGCTGAATTGAGGACCGTTCAATTGCCCATCATCACCAACGCCGTGTGTGCTAACTCCTACGGAACCATCATCACCAATCAAATCATCTGTACTTCGGGAGCCGGCAACCGTGGAGCTTGCAATGGTGACTCTGGTGGCCCATTGGTTGTAAGCGGTGTTGAAGTTGGTGTTGTCTCCTTCGGATCCAGACTTTGCGCTGCCGGAAACCCAACTGCCTACGCTAGAGTTTCCGCCTTCAGAGCATGGATCACCTCCAACTCTGGCGTCTAATCGACAATTCGCTATGAGAATATCTTGAACTTTGTAAAACCCTTCAGCTAATAAATGCATTTGATTTAAGTAGATCGTTTTTATCCACCATGTCGTTTCTTCGTTTAAGTTGAAGGCTCATTTTGGTAAGATCGGCCGTAGGTAAGTGACCCCAACATTTTCCATAAGCTCTTGTATGCTAACTTTGAAAAATCGATCTGGTAAATGATCTTCAATAGTATTTCGAAAGATTGGATCAAATCTTTGTACAGCATTTCACTACCAAATGGAAGCAAAATTCTATCTAGTCTTAAAAGTTGTATTTTGCAACGCGGAGTATACAGCTGAAGTACTTTAGCTGTTCCAGTTGTCTGGAATATAACCAATTTTTTTTACAAATAAAAATTGTCGAGTCGGACCTAACTGTGTTGATCCGCTTTGGGCAAGCGGTGAATCTTGAGTGTATCGGAACAAAAACTACCAGATTTTTTTATTCCGAAACAACTGTTTTTTGTAGAGTTTATGCCCTGTTCATCTTTTTTGTGCTATTGGTAAAATCTTGCAGCAGAAAACAGTTCTGGACATTTTTGTACCAAGACACTCAAGAATTAACCACTTGCCCAAAGCGGATGAACTCGGTTGCATCATCAAATCTATCGAGTTGCATTAAAAACCCTCGCATCATTCCCCCAAAATAAAAAAAAATAAGAAGAAAGAAATTTAGCCATCCATATGAGAAGACGTCATTTTTTTTACAACAATCAACATTTTTACCTAATAGAAGAAGCCATTTGATCATGTTGATCATTGCCATCATTTGAAATCATCAAAAACTCAAACTGTAATACGATACAAAAAAACATTTTTCGGCTCAACGGATGCACGATTTTCTTAATCCAAAACCTTGGTTAAAATTAGAATTCCATCAACGTAAAACTAGCCAAGAAAAGCAGTTTAGCGCAACAGTTTCAGCGAATTAAGTTCACGTTTATTCATGATAAATTTTTGAAAAATGGGGTGCCATTTTTCATTCCACTTAAATTATTTTCAAAATAACAAATAATTGAAACTAGAAACTAAACTTAGATACAAACTGAAAACAATACGGACGACAAAAGTAAATGAATTAGAGGGGGTTTGAAATTCGATTTACTCTCAAGTTGACACAGGCATGTTTACAAAACACATAACAAAAACCCCACACAATCTATGTTCCTTTCCTTTGGCTAAATCCTTCTTGCGACTAATATAATTTCGAAATTTGCATATATTTTTGCAAGTGTTGCAAATTTTTTGTCGCAAGTAATATACAGGGTGGGCAAATTTCGATGGTTTTAATGATAATCTCAATAACTAACGAAGACAGGAAAAAATACGCCGTTCATCCTCAATGTTTTTCCTGCTACACTAAAGGACGAAATTCAAAATTGTCAATTGCGTGTTAAGTTTTCCAGCTATAAGCAAAACTCGATGTTCTCCATTTTCTTTATATGGCGATAGCTGGATGATCTGATGAATTTGGAGAAAATTATTTGCACATTCTACGCACACTTTGTTTAGTGAATCTGAAAACCTCTAGAATTCTCTTGTTTTGCTAAATTCGCCTTTTTAAAAATTGGAAAAAATAATAACGCAACAATATATTAATTAAAACGTCATTCTGGCCTTGTACAACAAAAAACAAAACGGATTAAAAGATAAACGTGATGGATGAGCCATAAATAAAACAGTTTTAATCTGATATATATAAAAAAGACGGATTAGCCATTTTCTACGCTTCCCGTATAAAAGAACGGACATTTTCGACTTAAACCAGTTAAGTTTGATGCCAAGATGAAAATTGCTCTGTTCGCTTTGGTCTCCCTAATTGGTGCAGTTGCTGCAACTGAAACCTTAGAGGTAACTGTGTATACATATAATAGTATAATAATTAAAGAATAATGACCGTAAGAGGCGCGTGTTGCACTGTACTTTATCCCGAGGACTATTATTGAAGACATGCTTAAGTAGATGGATTAATTACTACCTTTCTCTATAAAACCTCTGTTTTTTGTGTTCATTTTACTCCTCTTACTCCTTCAGGTGTGAAATTGAACCCTTGGGACACATAAGCTCCATTACAATTAACTAGACCCATTCCCATAATTATGGATCATGAGCCATGGATAAACGCTTAAGTTTTCCCCAATTCTTTCCATCTTACACGTTTTTTCCCTCCATAGGAATTTGGCTATGACTGGGACAACATCAAAGGTCTAGATCTATTTGTAGAGCCAATTGGGCCAGCTGAATATGTGCCTCCTCAAGCGGGACTAAGAGTGATCAATGGAAACGTGGCTGCCAGAGGCGCCTTCCCCTATCAAGCTGCCCTCATCATCAACAACTCCGGTTTCTGCGGAGGTTCCATTATCAGCAACCTCTGGGTATTGACTGCTGCTCATTGCGTTGACACGTAAGATTTGGCCAACTTTCTTGCATAGTAGCGACTGCAAACACTGAGAGAATGTTTCCAGAGCTTCTTCCGTCCAAGTGATCCTTGGCGCTCACAATCCAAGAACCACCGTGAATGAGCCAACTCAGGTCAGACTTGCTGCCAATGCCCGTGTTGTGCACACAGGATGGACCGCCAGTACTCTGCAAAACGACATTGCTGTCCTCAGAACTGCTAATATTCCGGTTGGACAAACTGGAATTTCTACTATTGCCTTGGCCCCTGCTAACTCTGGAACGTTTGCCGGATCTACTGCCGTTTTCTCTGGCTGGGGTGCGTTTACTCACACAAATACGTTTGCAGCCTTAGTTTCATTACGTAAATATTCCAGGTAGAACGAGCGACGCCAGTACCACCATCGCTAATGAGCTGAAAACTGTTCAATTGCCAGTTATTACCAACGCTGTTTGTGCCAGCGCTTATGGAAGCATCATCACCACCCAAATCCTCTGCACTTCAGGAGCAGGAAACCGTGGAGCCTGCAGTGGTGATTCTGGAGGTCCCTTGGTGATCAACGGGGCTGAAGTTGGAATCGCTTCTTTTGCAGCCAGACAGTGTGCGGCTGGACATCCAACTGGATTTGTCCGAGTATCCTTCTTTAGAAACTGGATTGCATCCAATTCCGGTGTATAAAACACTGTTTTTTTTGTAAATAATTTGTAATATATTTGATTAATAACAATTTGCGTTGTTCATTGGTGGAGTGCATTCACTTATTGCTAGTTGATTAAGTAGGTACTCCAGCCTCTTTTGTATCTAGTTTATAAGGCAAGGTCTATTCTGTAAAAGTTAGGCGTTTTGATTTTTAGTCATCATCAGGCAATTTTCAAGAGTTTTCCAAAGTCGCATGTGACTTTTGAGGATGTTTAAGCAGTTCGGAGTTTTATAGACCGTTTTATTCGCTCAAGAACCTGCAAATTAAGCAAGTTATTTTTGTTCCCCTTTTGTAGGAAAAAGGGTGCTCTATTAGTGAAAAACGTTTCGATTTTGAATCACTTTCAGGATTTTTTCAAATTTCACTAAAAACCAGTTGGGTGAAAACTTCCGATTCTAAGAGCTCAGGTTATTTCTCGGATTTTAAAATTTTGCAGTTGTTCATGCCGGCTTAAGTTTGCCATTGATTCTCTCAGAAAGCAGTGAAGCTAAAGACTCACTTTCGGCTGCATTTGAAAAGCACAGTGCGTTTTAAATGTGGAAAAAGTTTCGGCTTTGACTCGTAGTCAGGCAATTTTCAAACATTTTTCAAAGTGGCAGATGATTTCTGCGGATGTTTAAGCAGGTCGAAAGTGTTTATAGACATTTGCTTAATAATTTCCAAATTTAGCCAGTTATTTTTGGTCCACTTTTGTAGGACACTGGGTCCAGGGGCGGATCCAGCTTTAAAGTCAGGGAGGG